CCCATGGAACTGAAGTTATGGACAGTTGTTAGATGCCATGTGGATGCTGGGATTCAACCCCGGGTCTTCTGCAAGAACAACCAGTGTTCTTAACTGCTGAGCCATCTCTCCAGCCCCAGGACTGCCACTTTCTATACTTTCATGTTTGTAGCATTCTTATTTATTATAAATGACACACTTTACTTTGGTAATCAGAGTTAAAACCAATAAAGTCAAATAATAGAGATTCTATTTTTATATACTGAGGCTCTTTGAGACAGGGCTGTGCTTTGTAGCCAAGGCTGGCTTCAAACTGAAGATCCTTTTGCCTTAGCCTCTCAAGTGCTAGGATTACAGGCGTGTGCCACCACAACAGCTGAAAATAGCAAAAATAGGGGGGAGATGGCACTATAGTAGTCAGGAACAGATATGGGGAGGTGAAGAGTATACATTGGGGTGATTTGGGAATGGTGCAGGGGCATCAGTAGCAATGTCCGACTGCTGAGCCATGCCCCCAGCCCCTCACTGGTGGATCCCAGGCAAGCATTTTACTGCTGAGCCATGCCCCCAGCATTTTTTGCTAAGCATTAGCTATGCCTTGTTCCATTTCAGTTCAATAGGCTTAGTGTTTAATGTCATTCTCAGTACTCAGAACAGAGCAGAGGGCACTAAACCAGGAGAAGATAAGCATGGATCACTCCAAGAACTGGCAGAGCCAGGTCCCAGCTCAAGGTGACCGCTTCTAGAAACCAGTGGAAAGATTCTCTCAGTGGAGGCCAAAAATGGGATGTACTCACACGGGCAGCAAGATCCTAGCTGGCCTGGGCAGGCAGATGTGCAGGGCAGAAATCACTGTGGCTGAAGAGTCTGAAGAGTGGTGGGAGCAGTCACTCAAGCCCCTGGGCTGTTTAGAAATTAATGCTGGTCTATAATCCCAGTTCTCAGGAGGATGAAGCAGGAGGATTATGAGTTCAAGGCCAGCCTGGGCCACATAGTGATACTGATTCAAAAGGAATGAAGGAATGAAGAGAGGAAGGAAGGAGAGAAGAAAGGGAACTTAGTGCTAGGATGATGCACACCTGTAATCCCAGCTACTTGGGAGGCAAAGGCAGGAGGATCACAAATTCAAAGTCAGCCTGAGCAATTTAGCAAGACCCTGTTTCAGAATTTAAAAGGGGGAAGAGGAGTGGGGATATGGCTCCCTGAGTAAAGCACTTCATATGCAAACATGAGGATCAGAATTTGGACCCCCAGAACCCACATAAATCTAGTGTGGTAGTGAACATCTGTAACCCTGGTTCATACAGCGAAATGGCACACAGAGACTCCCTGAGAGCTCAGGGGCTGGCTAGCCTGGAAGATGCAGTGTGAGCAAGAGACCGGTCTCAAACCAGGGGGAAGACTAGGACTCATACCCAGGGCTGTCCTCTGATCACTGCTTTCTCTCTCTCTCTCTCTCTCTCTCTCTCTCTCTCTCTCTCTCTCTCTCTCTCTCTCCCCTCCCCCCGCTCTCTCGCTCTCTCGCTCTATCGCTCTCTCTCGATTAAAAATATTAAAAAGGGACTGGAGAGATGGCTCAGCAGTTAAAAGCACTGGCTGCTCTTGCAGAGGACCCAGGTTCAGTTACCAGCACCTACAGGGTGGCTAAAAACCATCTGTAACTTCAGTTTCAGGGAACTCAATACCCTCTTCTGAACTCTATCTGCATTGCATGACATGGGTGCCCTTATATACATGCAGGCGATATACACATAAAATAAAAATAATAAATATTAAAAAATAAAAATATTAAAAAGGAAGGTCTGGGAATGAGCCCTTATGTAACATTTGCAATGCCCTAAGAGCCAAATAAAATAAAATGAAATGGGGCCACCAGGATGGCTCAGCAGGTAAAGATGCATGCCAACATGCCTGAGGACCTGAGTTCAATTCCCTGAGACTCATATGGTGGAAGGAGAAAACCAACGCCTGCACCTTGTCCTCTGACCTCCACCTGCACACTGTAGCACACACAGGTAAGTAAGTACAATGAAGTATTAGAGGTGCCCAGTTTTAGATGCTCCTGCTGCCTTTCCTCTGTGGCCCCCACACACTGCAGTCCTTTCCCTACATTGCACAGAGCCATAACTCTGGGCTGCTTTCCTCTGCCTGCCTCCAGACTGGCTCTAAGCCTGTCTGTCAGTCACGCTGTTCCTCTTTACTGACCCCAGCTTCCTGCAGCCGGGACACCACACCCATGTTCATTTTGATGTGCAGTCTGTCACCTTTTCTGCCTCATCTTCCTCCACCCCACCCCATCTTGGAACTCAACAGCCACACCTAGCCTGGCAGGGTGGGGCACATGTGGAATGCCAGATGTGCTGAGCTGAGGCAGGAGGATTGCCAGTTTCAGGCCAGCCTGAATTACGAGGCAAGACAGTCTCAAAAGACAAAACCAAACCAAAGACAAAGTCTTGCTCCCTGGGGGCCACTCACTCCTGGGACTTATGTTTGCTCACCTGTCACTGGAGGCCTTCTCAGGCCTCATGTATAGCACTGGTGGTGCCTGGTACATACACAGTAGGTCCCATAAGAACGTACTACACACATCAAAGTAGGAAAAGCGAGTGTTAGACTTGAACCTCCTGGCCCAATCTGATATTACACTTCGCAATTGGCAGTGATTGTAAAAATGACTTAAAGGGAGTGTTTATTTAATAAAGGATAGTGTTGCCCTTCTCATCCAAGGCTCCTGGGAAATAGTACCTGGTAAGCTAGTGAAACTGAGCACATTAGAATCTTCTAGAGTTAAATTCGGAATTAGGACGAGGTAGGAAAAATCTATGCTCATTGAATACGAAATGCAATTGTCTGTCAGCGCAGGAACTGAGTGTCTGCAGCAAATTATATTTAAGACTCTATTGTCGCAGGCAGATTAGCTAATGCTCGGTTTTAAGTGTGGGCTTCTAATGCTGTTACTCCTGGTTAACTCTGCCTGGCAGGTAACCTTGTGGAACAAATGACTGCATTGCTTGAATAACATATTTGATCAAATAGGACAATTCTTTCAAAAATTGAGTTCTCTGTGGCAATTTGAGACCTGTAATCAGCAAATTAGATGATTACAGCACGGATAAAAATAGTCTTCTAACAATGTCCAAGGTATAAACGTGATTTGAATTTCAAAATGCTGAACATGTGGTAGGAAAATGCACAGTTGGGTAAATACGACGAGACATTATCAGGTTTGATTTCCCTTCCATCCGTGCTGAGATATAGCCTCATTTTGCCTGAATATTCTCCGATCTCATTTGTGTCTGAGTTGGGGATAGATGTGGATCAGGCACTGTGCTCTGGGTCTTAAGGGGATTCCAGTGTTCCCTGTCTGCCTCAGGAACACAATTCCTAGGACCTCACCATTATTCATTTACCCACTCGGTGTGAAATGATGTCTGTGGAATGGTAAGCCACCCAAGGGCCACACAGGGAAGACGGCTCTGGAAAATTTCCCATGTCTACCACCTAAGGATCAGTGCTTTCAGAACAGTGGCAAAGAAACGATACCGGTAAGGTCCAGAGAATAAATGTGAGCTGGGGAGAAAAGGATGTATGATGTGCCTGGCCTCAATCCAGTCAAGACTTGAGGTTGCCTATAGGCTGCTGTGTCCCCATCTCAAAGGTAAGATGTGTGAAAGCCCCCACTGTCTCTGCTGACCATTCTCCCGGCCATTTCATCTCAGAGCCTCTTCTGATTATCATCTGGCTTCAGCTAGTGTTAGCATCACAGAAAGGATGCAGCAAACAGCACCGCAAAGCCAGGCCATGAAAGGCCAAGTCAACCACCAGCCTGGTGTACATCGAGTTCTAGGCCAGCTGGGGCTACAGGGAGACCCTGTCTCAAAAAGACTAAAAAAATTAAAAAAGCTGAGAAGGGTGGTGAGTTTGAGGCCAACCTGAGCTACAGTGAGACCCTGTATCAAACAAAACATAACTTGTTTCTTTGAGTTATGTTCTCCTTCCATAGCCCAGGCTGCCCTTGAATTCTTTCCTGCCTCAACCCTGAGTGCAGGTACAAGTGTGACCCACCAAGCCTCACAGTCACTGCTTTCTAATTCAAGAGCATCTCTGCCTGGGATTTGGAAATAACTAGGCAGGGATGCTATTGTTCTATCTAGATACCACTCTGTAGATTTCTGATGCACTTACTAGGGAAACTACTAAACTTACCAGAACTACAAAAGCAACCTCAAAAAAATAGAGTACCACCAACTTTGTAAAAATAATACAGATCTCAAATGCTTTCTACTTTAGAGTTCTGACAACTTTAAGATGAAATAAGTTGTTCTTTCACCTTCCTTTGTGTGTACAAACCCTGTTAAAATGACGTATTAAGAAAATGACCAGCAAAAGGTGATGGAAACTATCCATTAGATCTGTAAGTGGACAGTGACCCTGTGACCAGTTTGATGATAACACTACCATCCTGGCTTCTGTCTCATTAACTGTCCCATCTGCCCCTTTCCCTTTCTATCCTTTGAGAATGGGTCTTTCAAAGAGGCCAGGGCAACCTAGCACTCTCAAACCTCCCACCTCAGATGCCAAATGCTGGAACTGCAGGTGTGTGCTAAGGTGCCTAGTTTCTTCTTAGAAGCAGTTTCAGGCTACTATGTTAAACTTTTCAAACAAAGGCTCTTCTTTAGATTTGGGTAAGGGTGAATATGAGTTACAGGTTTTTAATGACCTTTAAATAGGCTAGGGAGGAAATGATACTACTAAAACCTCCTGGGTGTGGAAGTGGCTTCACAACTGTGGTAAATGATGGTTGATTCCGGCATGAAGAGCCACCTGTGTGGGGCATTATGGCAGAGTCTGGTGGAAGGCTGGGCTATGTAGGAAGCTCAAGGCCAACCCCAGTTGCATAGCAAGACCCTGTCTCAAAAATACAAATTCCAAGAAATGAAGAGAACTTGATTTGGCCACACTGAAAGGTGACTCCCAGTTTACATTAGCAGACAAAGTTTCAAAGATAGTATTATCTTTATTAAAAATGGAGACATAGCAGCACTTACAAAACACGAGTTCATGGAAGGCAGGGCACGCTGTCAGCTGACAGTGGGAAGGGCAGGCCCTGGCCCGCTGGCTGTGGGCTCTGCATTCCATGCTTGCTCACAACCCCCTCCCACATAACAGAACAGCAACCCAGAACACCCGAGCAGAGGCCAGCAGCGACTGTAGCCTCTGTAACTTCAAGCTTTTGTCATGTGTGTGAAGAGTCAATGGATCAAGTAGCACCCTCCTTAGCAGCGTCTGAGCACTCGGTGGTGTTCTGGAGGTGGCTGGTGTACTTGACCCTCTTGTTAAAACACCTAGCATTTAATGAAAGCACTTCTGTCCAAGGCTATCTGTAGGCCAGCTGCAGGAGAGACGCACCCTCCCAAGGAGCACCTGCAGGAGCTCCCACACCCCTCCTAGGCAGCATCCCTCCTAGGTAGCTCGAGAGCTCGGGGTAGTGCTCCTGCACCACTGTCTTTGGAGGTGAGGGTAGGCATGGTCAGTCTGTCTCCTGCTCACTGTTTTGCTTCTGACTGCTGTGCGGGGGGGTGAGGACCCCACTGGGGGGAGGAGAAATCCTGTTTTGTTCAGACAATATGGCTTTCTTCGCTTGGGCTTTGTCCTATGGACAAGAATAAGAGAAAAAGCTGTTGAAGTTTTTTTCTTTTTTTAATGGAGAGAAAAATAGCAAAGACAAAGTTAGGCCCAGGGGCACATGCTTGTGAACCTACTCCTTAGGATCTGAGGCAGGGGGCTTTCAAGTTCTAGGTCAGCCTGGGCTATATATTAAGACTGTGTCTCAACAAACAAAGCAACGAAAACTCCGTCTGTGGTCTACAGACACCCGAGACCATGGTCTATGGACCAGAAAGGTTCTTCAAGGAATTAGAACTGGATTAGCTGGGCGTGGTGACATACACCTTTGATCCCAGCACTTGGGAGGCAGATCTCTTGAGTTCCAGGCCAGCCCGGTCTACATAGTGAGTTCCAGGCCAGCTGCAGCTACAGGGAGACTGTCTCAAAATAAAAAATGGGAACTGGGTTTTCCCAGGTTTTCTGGGGCCTGCCCAAAGGAGGATAAGCAGGCCATTTAAGCAGTGCTGTTTAAGCACTTGTGGGTCTGAGGGAAGCAAGGGCATTACTGACCAGCAAATCCAAGCTGTTGGTGTGGGTCTGGATGTTGTGAGAGTCTTCAATAGCAACTCCCCTGAAGTGCTTGAGCTTGGAACTTCCTGTCTCCCGTATGACCATGGCAAATGGAACCATCCACTTGACACACTTCTCTATGTCACACCACTGATACCCTGAGGGCAAAAAGACAGGGTCAGTCTGGAGCTGACAGCTGCATTGTAGGTGTAAAACACCTGACTGTGAGCTCCCAGGAAAGCCAACATACCTGAAACCTTTTGCATCAATTCAGATGACGAGAAATGATACAAGGCAGAAGCAGCCAGTACACCATATGGAAATTCTAAGCAGCCAACATCCAGGACGCAGAGATCTAGAAGCTAGGGGAAGACAGGAATGCTAAGACAGATACCACACACTACACTGCTGGAAGCCCCCCAGGGGAGCTGTGGGGTGGAGCCCTGGAGCATCCCAGTGAGCAGCAGGGTGACCCTCTAGCCTGCCTACCTCTGCAATCTGCACGAAGACTTGCTGTGGGTACTGCGGCATCAGCACTTCACTCGTGTCATTGACATATGCAACTTGCACGTAAACGTTCAGCCAGGATACGATGGTCAGAGGGCTTAAACGCCACTTAAGGGCCTGAAGGAAAAGAAAAGACACGGTACTTGTAAAAAGCCTGAGAGGCAGCCATGTTCCCTGCGACTGCAGACTAGCTGGAGAAGGCCCACCAGGCCCACCCGAACTTCACAGGAGAAAGGCATCAGCTATGCACTTCATGTCACAGGCCTGTCACCCAGGCACTCAGGAGGCTGAGGCAGGCAAATCATGAGTGCAAAGCCAGTCTGAGCTACACAGTGAGATCCAGTCTCAAAAGATTAACTTGTAACATGCCTTCATAATCATTAATTCCATGGTAAGAATTTCATCTCCTGAGCAAGCGCCATCCGTCACATAAGCAAACTGGTGCAACTTTGGAGGGTAGATTTCCTGAAAGGAGATAAAAGATGCTGTTAGCAAGCAGATGATCCACAACAGCACCAGATTATAACTCACATCCAAAATGACTCTTTCTAGCACACAGATATGGAAAGGCTCGACACAGGTCCACTCCAGCAATCCAAACCTGTCACAAACTCATGATCCTCCTGCTTCAGCAACCTGAGTGCTGGGATTACAGGCGGGAACCACCACACCACACCACACCAAAATTTCAATCTTTTCAGCTCAAAGTTCAATTTTGCTTAACGTGACTGTGTTAAATCTAAATAATCTATAAACTTCTCAGTCAGTTCCCAGTGTCTTTTTTCCTTCCCGTGTGTCTTAACTTTAGAAGCCCTTTTGTTAGGAAAACTCAGGATACAGCTGGCCTCTTCCCCTAGTATCAGTCAAACTTAAAATAGTGTGCATTATATAAATACTCGAAAATTGTTCACCTCAAGTTTGGCGGCAATAAATAAGGCTGAAATCCCAATAAGCTGTAAAAGGGTTTTGATGACATTCTCTTGTGATGCCATGTACCGATCAAAGAAATCCTGGGCCAGGTAGAACGTCTCCCTGTGAAGTTTATAGACTTCACACACCTGCAAGAGTGTTTAGTATTTTAGAAGTTACTTGAAAAAAACAGCAAAATCAAACCTGTTCTGGGTTTTAATGAAAGGTATAAAAGGATGTCCCTAAGCAACACATAGTGAGACTTCAGACAGGAGCCTAAGTGTTCTGTGATCTATCCAACAAGCAAGAGCAAACGTCCACAGGACAGGGAAGACAGGCTCGTAGTCCCATCCAAGCAGCATTTTCATAAAAAAACCACCTCTTCCCCCCACAAAAAAGTCCATGAATTTTCCCCTAAAAATGCAGCTCCTTAAATATTAATGTGTACTACATGTATGCCTGGTGCCCTGAAGAGGCCAGAAGAGGGCATTGGATCCCCTGGAGCTGCAGTACAGATCGCTCGGCAGTTGTTAGCCATCAGTGGGTCCTGGGAACTCAACGCAGGCTCTGCAAGTGCTCTTAACTGCTAAACCATCCCTTCAGCCCCCTTCGGCTCTCGTTTACAAGTTTCATTATCCCTCAAGGAAAGAGCCAACATATTTGTTTATAACTGAGCAATATCAATTAAGTTTACCTTTAATTTTTATTTCTTTTTGTAGTGCTAGGAATGGAGGTTAGGGTCTTATGCATGCTAGGCAAGTGGTCTGCCACTGAAGCTAAACTCCCAGTAGGTTTAAAGGAATACACACTATGACATGCCCCTAAAACTCTAAATACAGCAAGCAAAAATATTGTTAAGAAGCACTGAAAAATCAAAGAACAAGGTTGTAGTTTAGGCTCTAGCAGACAAAACCATGTATTTCATGGTTTTGGACAGGACAAAGACTTGCCCTGCTACCTCCTGGGACTTCTAGAGGACCTAATAAAATGTGGACACAATGGGGTTGAAAGGACTAAGAAAATACTGGTCATCATTCACTGCTGTCTGATGTCTGAGTGTGAAACTGCAACACCTCAGCCAGTCCTAAGTCTCAGGTCAGCAGGTAGAAACAGAGGCCAAGGGCTAATGCCCACAAGCCTGCTAGAAAGTTCCACAAACCACCACTGGCTCCTTCTAAGTCTAGCTTAAGCCATATATAGCTATTTCTAAAACAGTCTTCCATAGTACAATGGCACCAATCACCTAGAACCTCTCAGTCAAGCTCTTTAGGAGTTGGCACCTAGGAGATTAAGATGGAAAAATTTGAGGAATTACAAAATGTTGCAAAGGCCGCAGAAGGGCAGTGTGATGAGGTAGGTCGGTGGTGGGCAGCTCCAGTGCCTAAGCTTCAAAAGGAGAACAGGAATATGGGTGACTTAGGGATCAATGAGGAAACAAGAACAAAAACTTCATACACCCCTCCCCCCACCCACACAGGGTTTTCAGAATGTAGCCCAGACTGGCCAAGAACTCAAGATATTCTGTCTCCGCATCTTCTGAGTGCTGGGATTACAGGCTTGTGCCACGATGCCTGGCGTATACCCCACTTCACCAGTGCAACTCTGCACTCAAAGCACTACTAGAAAACACTAGAGATAAGAAACCAGATTCTGGGGCTGGAAAGACGGCTCAATGGTTAAGAGTGCTTCCTGGTGTTCCAGGACCCAAGTTTGGTTCCTAGCACCCATACTGGGCAACTCACAGCCCCCTGTAACTCTAGCTACAGGGGATCCAACACCCTCCTCTGGTCTCTGCAGGAAACCTATACATAACTGGCATACACAAGATACATAAAAATAAATCTTTGGGCTAGAAAGATGGCTCAGAGGTTAAGAACACTGTTCTTGCAGAAGACCCAGGTTCAAATCCCAGCACCCATATGACAGCTAACAACTGTCCATAACTCCAGTTCCAGGGGATCTGACAGCCTCTTCTGTCCTCTGCAGGCACTGCATGACACGGGTGCACTAACCTACATGTAGGCAATAAATACACACATACACATATGATAAAAATAATAAATAAAATCTTTAAAAAATCTTTAAAACAAGAAAAGAAAGGACTTGTGGTACACACCTATAATCCCAGCACTTGGACCAGAAGTTCAAGTTTACCCTTGGTTAAATTACAAGTTTGAGGCCAATCTGGACTACATGAGACTCTGTCTAAAACAAAACAAACTCAAAGTTAAGTAACTTGATTGACACAGGCCTCTGGATGAATGATGTCAGCATTGGTACTACTGGGAGCACATGATTCTTCCACTTCTCAGAAGGAAACCTCATTTCTTGCCCTTCCATTTTTAGAGTACCTGGAAGACCTCTCTGAATTCAGGTACTGTAAGTCACTCAAAGATCACCCTAGACGGGGCTGGAGAGATGGCTCAGAGGTTAAGAGCACTGACTGCTCTTGCAGAGGACCCGGGTTCGATTCCCAGCACCCACATGGCAGCTATGAACTGTCCTTAACTCCGGTTCCAGGGGATTCTGAAGCCCTCTTCTGACTTCTGTGGCAATGCACGACATGGGTGCACTCACATACATGCAGACAATACACTCATACACATAAAATAAAAATAAAATATTTTTAAAAAAAAGATCATCCTAGAAAGAAGTGCACTGCCAATAAAATTTCCCTTTATGGGGAATGGGAAGCAAACCTAAAAATCTTATGAGTGTGAGGCAAGCAGTCTACCACTGAGCTACAGGCCCAGCCCTTAACATTTCACTTTTTAGAAGTCCAACGTGCTATCTGTTGTGCAACGAAGCCACCTAACATTTACTTTAAAAAATATTTATTTTATTTATTATTTTTATTTTATGTGTATGAGTGTTATGCCTGCATATAGGTAAGTGTACCCCTGTCGTGCAAATGCCCACGAAGGACAGAAAAGGCTGTCAGATCCCCTGGAACTGGAGTTACAGACATTTGAACCCGGGTCCTCTGCAAGAACAGTCAAGTGTTCTTAATCGCTAAGCCATCTCTCCAGCCCAACATTTCACTTTTTAAAAAATCTTATTTATTTTTATTTATGTGTAGATGTGAATGCCTGGTTGTCTGTAAGAACACGTTGTATGCAATGCCGAGGAGGCCAGAAGAGGGAGTCAGATACTCTGGAGTTGGAGTTACAGGAGTTGTGATCTGTCCCATGTAGGTGCTGGGAATTCAACATATGTGTTCTGCAAGAGTAGCAAGAACTCAACCACTGAGCCATCTCTCTTGCCCCCAACTTTTTTTGTTTGTTTTTGACACAGGGTTTCCTTGTAGTCCCAGCTGACCTGGATCTCGGAGAGATCCAGCTGCCTCTGTCTCCTAAGTGCTGGGATTAAAGGTTTGTACCACCATTTCACCTTTTTTTTTTTTCTTTTTGAGTCAGGGTCTCCCTGTAGCCCCAGCTGGCCCCGAACTTGCTATGTAGATCAGACTGGCCTCGAACTCACAGAGATCCACCTACCTCTGCCTCCCAGTGCTGGGGTTAAAGGCATGCGCCACCACACCCAGCCTCCATTTCACTTTTTGTTTACTGCTGTAGAGAAGCAGGGAGTGACATCCTAAGATTAGAGAAAGATAGTCTGAGAGCTCATTCTGTGAAGAGAATGGACCCCAGGAACTTAAAAATGTACCCTGTGAGCTGACTGCTGAACACAACCTGTTCATGTATGCTTATAGCTAATGGCAGTGACTTACACAGCTGGGCTCTGCATTCCAGTAGAAATGTCTAAAGCAATTTAACGCAGGGCTCAATTATCAATATTTACAATTTATTGGAAAGAACAGCCTTTGCAACTATTTATACGTTGTTGGAAAATTAGATGCCAACTTTCAAATATCTAAGAGATAGTGATTTTAGAAATTCTTCTAAGAATGTAGGAAAGGGGCTAGAGAGATGGCTCAGCGATTAAGAGCACTGACTGCTCTTGCAGAGGACCTGGGTTCGATTCCCAGCACCCACATGGTGGCTATGAACCGTTCTTAACTCCAGTTCCAGGGGACTCCAATGCCCTCTTCTGACCTCTGCGGCATTGCACAACATGGGTACACTCACATACATGTAGGCAATATACTCATACACATAAAATAAAATAATAAAATAGTTTAAAAAAATGCAGGAAAAAGCCAGGCACAGTGATACACGCCTTTAATTCCAGTACTTGGGAGGCAGAGGCAGGCAGATCTCTGTGAGTTCAAGGCCAGCTTGGTTTACATAATGAGTTCCAAGCCAGCTGGGGCTACAGGGGGATCCTATCTCAAAAAGACCAAAATAAATAAACAAATAAACAAATAAGAAAAAGAAGAAAGATCACCACAGTACCATGGTATATACACCAGGCAGCTTGGGAGACCCAGAATGAGCTGATGGAGTCAGCACATGAAGAGCACACACCTAGAGACCTGCCACCCAGAGGGGCTGAGACAGCTCACCTCCATCAGCCAATCCAGGAGAACTGCTCTCATCCTCGCCTGCAGGAGAGGGTGGCGCTGCAGAAAGTGCTCATCTCTTAAGTAAGTGTTGTCCTTGCTTAACATGATCCTCCACACCTCATCTCGATTTGCCCAGCTATAGAAAAACACACAACCCCCACCATGGGTGTCAGTATGTACTCACACTGATGTGGACCCAGAGGCATGTAACAAAACCAACACCTACTTTAAGACAGGCAGCGGGGAGGCTCTGGATGGTCTGCATTTCCGAGGCTCAAATTTAGTCTTGGGGTACCCAACCTCAGGGCCCTCTTCTTTGTCAGGGGTGGGGATGAAAGAGCAGGGGTCCATGGATGCTGACTTATCATCCCAAGACTGTCAATGAAACACATTGCAAGGTGTTGGATGGAAACCAGTGACTTGTACGTTCACCAATATGGATGAGCCAGGCCCAGGCACTCTGGCCTTGGATAAGATGGGAATGGCAGGAACACACAAAGCCACAGCCATGACTGGGAACTTCCATGTCACCTGTGAGTAAAGTAGGAGTCTGCACAGCAGAGATCCCTAAAAACACTAGGAAATCTGTGGTGTTTTGTCCTCTCCATCACCATCTAACTAGGTGCTTGGGAGGACAACTGTACACAGAGGAGCCAGGTGAAATCCAGAGTTTACAAGACATGTTATTGACCATACACACCCACCAAGGGGTACCACCTTTGGTTTTCCCTGACTCCAAACAAGACAAAATGAACCGCTACCTAGTTTAAACCAAATAAGCTGTGGTCACAAGTTGTACCATATGTCTGTGGAGACAGAACCTAGACATTGCTAAAGACCTTTGGATCCAAGAACTTTACAGAACATAACTCAACCATCAGATAAATGAACAATCCATCATTTAAAACCAAAGCAACAGGCTTTCCTTTTGAAGACTTCGGATTGACTTTTGGTTGATTTTTAATATTCAGAAAAGACTAAGGCCATTTTCAGTAATTTCTTTGTAAGTTATAATTTCTCATCCTAATATAAAAAGTCCATATTTTGATCTCTAAAGTTATCAAATAGAGGCCAAGGACATTAGGCAAGTAATGATTCCACTAGCATAGAAGCCCTGAGTCTGAGACCTGTGTCACTTCATTCATTCAAACTCATGATCCTCCTGCCTGAGTCTCCCAAACACTCAGATTACAGGAGTGCATTGCCAAGCCTGGCACCACTGGTTTTTATTATTATTTCAGACCAAGAGTCCATTAATGTGGACTAGAGAACAAAACAAGACAACGGGGACGTCTACAGCTCCCCCAGCACCTCAGCCACCTTCGGAGGAAGCCCAGATGCTCCACGAAGTAGAAGAGCAGAGCTGGATTAACGTGCCTCACCACTCAGTGTACAAAGAATCGGGCATGCAAATTATCCACAACAGCTCCTGCCAAGAGCTGTGCCAGAAAGGCAGCTTCCTTTCAGTTCCAACATTTTCGTGCTCAGTAGCATCGCCTTGCCTCAAAAGCTTCATGTTAACCACTGCCTGAAGTTGCTCTTCATTCAAGAATGAGTTCTCCTTCAAAAAGTACAAGCTAGGTGGCACCCACTACGGCCAGATGGCTGGCATATCTAGAAACAGCCCTTTAGGGATTAACTGTTAGCAGTTTCCAACCTGCAGTTCATAGACAAATTGGGTGAGCCACAGCAGACAAATGGGTTCCAAAGTTGGCCTTTTTATGGGAGGCAGTGGATAAGGCAGTTGGACATCTATCAAATTTCACAGGACGCAAGATCAGCCTGACTTTGGAAGAAATGGAGTAACAGAAAAATTAAAGAAAATGGACCTGTGAAATAGATTTTACACAATAGATTTTATGCATCTTTCTCATTTAGAATAACCCAGGTGGTACACACCTCTAACCCCAGCTCTCCAGAAATTGGGAGGCTGAGGCAGGGGGATCATAAGTTCAAGGTCAGCCTGGGCTATACAAGGAGACCCTGTTTCAAAACCAGGAAAAACTCCAGGTGTGATGGTACACACCTTTAGTCCCAGTACTATGGAGGCAAAGGCAGGTGGATGTCTACATAGCAAGTTCCAGGCCAGCTGGGGCTACAGGGAGACCCTATCTCAAAAACGCAAACAAACAAGAAACAACCAAAAGTAGCCTAAGAATCACAAATCTCTGTGGTCTTGATGAATTCAGTATGACAGATCTCATTGGCTCAAAGTTACACTAGATAGAACTCAAACACCTCCAGAGAAAAAAATTCTATGCAGTTAGGCACAAAAGCTGTTACACCCCAAATTCTAGCCTCATGCTTCACAGAGAAAGAAAACCACTCCATAAACGGTGATTTGTCATTAATCTCTGGACAATCATGAAAATGCCTTCTGGTGGGAAATGTTGTGACAGTCACAACTGGGCTCTTGCCACTGCCCATTCCTGTACTGCAGACACCACGGCCACAGTCCAGATGTGGAGCCAGTCCTGTCCCAGGCACTCAGCACTGCTGTGGTTATTCCTCAGGGCAGAAGTGAGCCTCAATTTCCAAGTGAATGGCTCTGCTGCATTTCCACTGGGAAGTTTCTGTTGAAAACACAGCTGGCAACATGAACACTCTTGAATCCTACAAAGCAGGGATTCATCTTATAATACACAATCAACTTGCTTCATCTGAGGGTTCCTTCTTTAAGTAAAGAAATGGGTGAAAAAGGAATGTGGATGTGTTCTTACTTCCTTTCCTGTGGGGAAGTACTTCTCCTAACAGGGAAATCAACCCCCTTTTCTCAGTGTCAAGTGGGTGCTCCCAGAAATGCAGACTACTGACTGGGCTGGGGTGTCAGGTGGCAGCATTGCAAACCATGTGGACCATGGAAGTCCTTCACTCTTCCAGATCAGCTGCCCCTCCTCTGTTCTACAGTCACTTTCTGTCCACGGTTAACCTCACTGGGACAGAGATGAGGTCAACTGAATACCATTCCTGCTCGGCTTTATCTGTGATGGAGGCCGAAGGTCTCACCAGCCAGTTTGGAGATAGGCCACTTTGCCCAACGGAGCCATAACTACAGTCTCCAGCCATTTCTGGAGGCAAGGAGATAATACAAGCTCTCTCTGCAAGGAGCTTCTGATAGCATGCTACCAAGCTGCATGTCAAAGATCTGGCAGGCACTCGCTAGGAGGGATGGCAAGATGGAGCAGTCAGGGAAAAACTGCTTCAGACACACACCATGACAGACCCTTGCTGAGGCCAGGTACATCCTGGACAACAGTGATCAATACAGTTCACTGATGGCTGGGTAGAACATTCTGGGTCACGAAGGAAAAACTCTGAATGAAACCTGACCTAAAGGGATGGAAAAAAGTCCTTAGAGGCTACAACATGTCACAAATCTGGATGAAGGAGAAGTGGTTGGAGTCCTATCCCCTAAGTCTTTAGCCATTGGCAACAGCGTTGCAAGTCCAGCTCTACCATGGGCTTGCAAAGGACTGTGGTATTGCCTTCTCTGAGTTAGTTTCCTCCAGTGCCAGTTCTGGTTCTTCTGGGTGTCAGCACCTGTAACCTCAGGGGTGCTGGTCAGAAACACAAATCCTTCCCAAATTCCAAGGCCCAGCAGAGGCCAAGCCACACTGAGAGCCATCCAGCTCCGCCATGTGGCCTGTAGGGCTGGTCTGAAAACTTAAAAAGCATGGGGTCTCCAGCAAGAAAGCAAGCCCAGGTGGAGACACAAGGCCCAGTGGGCCTGCAGACCTACCTGACTGCCATCCTGGTCTCTCGCAGTCCTGTCAATCTTGGCAATTTCTTCATCTGGATCTTGCAGAAACTAACATTAAAACAATAATAATAAATAAAATCCCAATCCACCAAGGAAACACACAGAATAGCCCAAAGACAAAAAAAGGGGGGGGGGAGACTTGGTTAGGCTCTCAGTGCCATTCAGCTAAAGGGACCTCCCCTCCTCAACTAATTCTCCTCATTCATGGGTGATCAGATCTAAATCTGGTACCCAGGTGAGATGGAATGGGGGGGGGGTTTCCCTCCCCAACCTGTATCCTTTGTAGTCAGTCACTCACCACGGCCACATTTGCCTTCCTCTTCCTGGAGCGGGCCGAGAAGTCGGTGCCACCTTCTTCTTTCATGCTGCCCCGGTCCTTCCCATCTCTGAAGAGACGTGGTGTCAGAGGTGCTGCTCCCCCAAATCTCAGCCGCCCCTCCCCCACCGCAGCAGCCTGGCCACTCACCTCTCCTTCCTTTCCCTTGGCATGGTGCAGAGCTTGGGGCTCCCACCTCAGGCCTGGGCGGGGGGACACGAAGCGGATAATGGGGGTGAGCACCGGACACGGAGAGGACCCGGGCCCGCCCGGCTGTCCACCCCGCACCCCTCCCCCCTCCCGCGCGGGCGGCGGCGGGAGCCTCCCGGGCCGGCCTGGAAAATGGCCGATGGGCCCGGGTGGCCTGTCACCCACGGCGACGCCCGCAGCCGGTGATCCCGGGTCCGAGCTTCAGGTGGGGGTGCAGGCCCAGGTCGAGGGGGACCCCCCCAAAGATCGCCGCTCTGGGGGCCCAGGGCTGCCTCAGTGTCCCTTCCCACACCTCCCTGGGACCCATCGCCCTCAGACACCCCGGACGGGGCGACCCACGCGGACGCCTCGTGGAGGGGGGGGGCAGCACCCCGACCTCGCCCCACCCCCACTCCCACCCGGTCCAGTCCGGTCCGGTCGGGTCCCGGAGCTCCACGGACGCCGCAGCCCGTACCCGAAGTCGTGTCGGCCGTAGGCAGGCGCGCACGAGCGGGACAGGAGGCCGGCGGCGGGCGGGAAGCGGGAGGCGGGAGGCGGCGGCCGAGCGCGCGGCGCTGGCGGGATCCGCGCCTGCCCCCTACACCGCGCTGGCGGCCGAGCCGGCTGCTCCTGCGCCCGGCTTCGAGCGGGACATTTAAAAATCCCAGCGCGCGGCACCGGCCCCGGCCCGCCCTCGAGCCCCGCCCCGTGGGCTCGGAGCCCCTCAGCGGCTGCCTCAGGCCTCCGGCCCGCCCCGCCACCGCCCTCAGCACCGCCCCGCAGTGGAGCCGGCCAGCGAGGCTCTCAGGCCTCCGGGGCGGGGCCTGGGGTGGGCGTGGTCTTGGATGGGCGTGATCTCCAGAAACGAGGCGGGGCCAAGTGACAGGGCCTGCGCGCCGGAGAGGCGGGGCGCGGACGTGGTAGGCGTGACCTGGGCCTGCGCGGGGCAGGACGCGGGAGAGCCAGTCGGCGCGCGCGCGCTTGGCTGGGGGTGGGGTTGGCGGACGCGGGAGAAGCTGGAGCGATTCCGAGGCACTGCGAGAAGCCGCGTGGGGGGCGCGGGTGGGCTGTCAGCATTCCAGAGCCCGAGGATTCACCGCTCGGCCTGGCGGGAGAGATGCGCGGGGAGTAGCGGGTGCAAAGGACCCACTGTCAGCCTGCCTCCCGCGCGCGCGCGCGCGTACTGTCCCTCCGGGTGCGTCCTCCCCTCCCCGAGACGCTGGGTTCCGGGCCCGAGTCCGGGGCGTGGATGTCCCCAAGGTCACAGCGCGTGGCGCCTGGGACAGTAACCAGGCTTAAGGGTGCTGGGTGTGGGGCCTCCTTAGGCGCAGGTCCTTTGATCTGTCAAAGCAGTCGTTTATTCATTCATTGACTACCTAGCGCCTTCCTGGTTCCTCTAGTACACAATGCTCTGCCTCCGCAGATCCCTCTAGAGCACTGGGCCTTCCTGACCCTCAGGTCCCCATGCGGTCCCAGCCAAATGTTTCTCATCACAGAGCTCCACGTGAAATGACCCTCATTCCCTCAGGCCTGAACTTCAGTCTTCTGCCTTGGCTGTCCAGCACCCTGCCTGTGCCCTTTTTCACCTCAGGGCCTTGAGGTCTTCAGTGAACGCTTCCTCTGCATGTTGCCTCTCCCAGGGCCTCCTCTCCACGTCATTACCTTGCTTCCCCTCGGTCTCCCTGTCCCACCTCCTTCATCTTGTTCAGCTATATCCCTCAGTCTGAGCATGGTGCCTGGATGGGGGGATACTGCCATCATGTTTGTGAATGCTATTGAAAGCCATGCTGACCCTAGATCTATGGAACAGACAGGGTAGTGAGAGAGACATATGCTGAACAATGGTCACAGGCCTGGGCAGACCTTCTTTACCCAACTTCTGGAAGTGTACAAGGCAGGGCTTTGAACTCCCGCAGGGTCTCTCCTCACAATAAACCTGTCTCCTCTCCTTCAGGGACTGTCTTCTTGAAGTCAGAGCAGCATGTGCCATTCCTACAGGTCCTGACTACTAGCACATTTGTGATGTCCCAGGCTACTGACTCTGAATGTCACATGTAAACTGAGCCAAAGACCCCACACTTCCAACCCTGTACATTCTCTCCAGTGGTGACCACAGCAGATGCTAAACCTCAAACTCAGCTTGGGTTAAGATCTTTAATCCTAATATGTTGAACCATGAACCCCCTGGTTCACAGATCACATCTACCTCCTATAGTCCCTGTGAGGACTGAGGGAAACAATACAGATGAATCAATATCATGCCTGGCACACAATACATGTTCAATGAAGGGGTTATGATAACAGTGATAGACATGAGGTTTTTATAGTCTCATTAGCAAAGAATGAGGTTCCAGAGGCTCCTATCCTGAGGATGAAATAGATCAATTGTTATATTCATTCAGTGGAAAATTACATGATGGAAATCACAAACCACTGACCCATGTGGCAATGTACAAGCAAGAACTCCACACTCACAATAATAAGCACAAGAAGCCAAACAGGAATGTGAGGTTTCCCTGTATTTGAAGTTTGAGAAAAGAAATGAAAGGAGGTGTGGCGGCACACACCTTTAATCTCCGAAGTTGAGAGGCAGAGGCAGGTGGAGCTCTGTGAGTTCAAGGTTAGGCTTGAGATACACAACTAAGCTCTCTCAACAAACAAACAAACCAGAAATCACCCAAGAAAATGAAAAGGAACTTGATGATAGAGCACATGTGCTTTTAGGTACAGGCCCTGGGGTTCACCCCTCAGCACCCCACAGGGGAAGGAAAAAAGAGGAAAAAATGATGTAGAATAATAATCAAAACCAGAGTTACTTCTGAAAAGTAATAACCAGGGGAGTACCAAGGGAAAGTTCTGGGTCCTAGACTTGTTTTACATCTTTACCTAAGCAGAGGATACAAGGCTGTATTCATGTATAAAATCTCATTGATGGGTTGTACCCATCACTGACTGGATCTCATACAGCAGACCCAGCTCCCTGTTCGGTGGAACTTACTTTCTTCATGGTGCAAACATGTACCCATCGTTCAGTATAACAGTCTACAAGTAGAACCATTAGACATTTTCCTATTAAAAAGGTCTTATGTTAGACCACTGAGCCCCAATGTGACCTGAGCACTTTAAGGTAGGCTTAGCTGTAGTTGTGAAGCACGTTTTCTTTTGTTTTGTTTTTGAAGCAGGCTGACTAAACTCACTGTGTAGCCAAGGATGACCTAAACCCCTGATCTCCCTGCCTCTACCTCCCAAGTGCTGGCATTACAGTTGTGCACCACCAGATCCCCCTTCAATGCAATTTCTTGGTTACTGGCATTTTCAATTTGCAATGGGTATAGTAGGGTTTAACCTTATTATTAGTCAAGGACCATATCCATCCTTCAATGAAAAGTTAATTTTTTTTTTTTGAGACAGGATCTTACTATATAGCCCTGACTAACCTGGAACTCACTGTGCGGGACAGATCTCACAGAGATCCACCTGCCTCTGAATCCTGAGTGCTCAGATTTAAAGACATGTACCACCATGACCAGCCAAAGAAATAATTGTAAAAGATCAGAACAAGCAGGGTGTGGTGGTGCACGCCTGTAGTCCCAGCGCTTGGGAGGCAGAGGCAGGCAGATCTCCGTGAGTTCAAGGCCAACCTGGTCTACATAGCGAGTTCCAGGCCAGCTGGGGCTACAGGGAGACCCTGACTCAAAAAAACAAAAAAAAAAAAAAAAAGATCAAAACAAAGAGAAACAGACTCAATCTCTGCCCATTTGGGAAGGGAGACAGTCATTGTGGATTGGCAGTTGCTGTTTAGAGTTAAAAGACTGGGATAAGAAAATTCTGGGGGGATATGACTTCATGTGGGGAACACAGAATTCCAGGAGGACTTCATGGAGGAAGAAACCCAAGGCACAGAAACACCCTGCGCTGTGGCTTGGAGCCTTTGGAAGTCACTGATGGCCTCCCCATCTGGGGCAGCTTAACTTGGAAGTATGCAGTCATCTCATTCTGTCTCTACATTGAGAGCATCCAGACACTGACTCAACTTTGGGGGAGACCATGGAAAAGACATGGTACCCAGAGATAGTGAGCTGGCTACTGTGTAGAGTGGTCAGCACCTCCCTTCTGCCATGAGCCTTCTGGACTCTTCATGACTCCTCTGTGCTCTCGATCTGTAAAATGAACATTATTCTAATGGTCCAGCCTCCTAAGGTTGCTCTGAGGATCAAGGTGCCTATGCCTGCCAAGCTCTTTCAACAGTATCTGGTACAGTAAGTGCCCCAGGTATGTTCATTAGTCACAAGACAAGTCGGGGGCCTTGGCTTAGCTTCATATGTGACACAGGCCCTGATGATGGTGGAGAGCTAATGACTGGAACCAGGATGTAACACTTAGGGAGAAGGAAGACCACAACTATAGAATATCCCAATAGGGCGTTCCTGAACAGGCAGCGATTCCATTGATGGGCACCTCACTGGGCATAACTTTAAAAAAATTACTTTATTTACATATATGTATTTTAATATTTTTAATTTATGTTTATACGTGTATTGCCTGCATGTAGGTAAGTGCACCTGTGTCATGCACTGCCCTCAAAAGACAGAAGAGGCTGTTGGATCCCCTGGAACTGGAGTTACAGACAGTTGTTAGCTGCCATGTGGGTGCTGGGATTTGAACCCGGGTCTTCTGCAAGAACAATCAGTGTTCTTAACCACTGAGCCATCTCTCCAGTCTCTTATTTATATTTTTTTGTGGATGTGTATGTGCATGCTATACATGAACAGGTGTGCAAGGATGCCAAAAGAGCATGTCAGATCCCCTGGAGCTGGACTCACAGGTGGTTGTGAGTCTCCCAACGGGTGCTGGGAACTGAACTCACACCCTCTACAAGAATAGTACATGCTCTTAACTGATGAACTCTCTCTCCAGTCCTTCTGGGCATAACTTTTGCCAGCTCCTTAAAGGTTATGTGTGTGTGCACACACGCGCGCATATTGTTGTGTCAGGGCTTAGAACCGGGAGCTTCAGCGGTGCTAAGAAAGCTCATCCCTGAATTATGTCCTCAGCCCACCTTAAGAGGCCAAGGGGAGGTAGGGCCCCAAATCTGTGCTCCCCAAGACTGACATGCTGCCCATAAGCAGCTCGCACTACTGAACATGAAGCTCATGGTGGGGAGACTGCATTGGTGGTTCTAGCTCTGTCCTACGCTCTGTTTTATCAGGGAACAAGTTCAGTCAACAGTGCATTAGGCAAGAGGCTAGGATCAATGAAAAATTCCTAGGAAAATTAAAATAGCCCCTTTCAACTTAGTGGAGGATGGAAGAGAGGTGGCAGCTGACATGTGTGGGTTCTGAGCTAAGCACGGGCTGGCAAGAATCGGAGGCTAATTTGCAGACGCTTTAAGAGGTGAGAGTGTGTGAGGAGTCTGGCTGTTGGGGGGCAGATATGCAGCAAACCAACTACTACTGCCTCAGCTTGGGCAAGGCATAAGAGGGCTTTGTTCTATAGCCGACCTCCATATCCCCAGCTTCCAGTTAAATCTCCTCATTTTGGGCTTTCTGAAGAGAAGCACAGCTGCAAAACAGAGGCGGGGCCTGAGGGAGAAGGCTCTGCATCTCCCTTCTGGTCAGAGATCAACATTTTTTCCCTAAGCACCACCCTCTGAGGCACTTTGATGGGAGACAGGGCC